AGAGGTCCCGACAGAGACATGCGGAGCCTAAAATAGTAGGCAAGGGAGGCAAATAAAAGCAGAGCAAGAGAGCAGAAAATTTTCACTAACATGACGGCAAGTTGGTTAGCCAAACAAAACGTTCAAGAATACACGGCGTACAAGAGCACGAATTATATGTCTTGAGCCATAAAACTTGCACTGCCGCAATATTCTGTGTCTTCACAATTTCCAATCTTAACGTAATGATTGTAACATCATTTGCCCAAAAGCAGTGGATAGAGGATTAATTGAAAAAATCTTCCTTATCAGTCGTGCGGGCGCCGTTACTACAGCTCTTAAAGAAACGCTTGGATAAATATGTGTCTTTCTTTTCCCTCAACACTGAACCCGAACTAATATCACGCCAACACCATATCTGAGTTGGTTTTAGAAACAGTGCTGCTTACACTTTAATGAATACTATTTTAGAAAGGAGTATTTGCCAAATGCGTGTACAGCTGTGGATATCACACCGGCATGCCTACTATTCCATTACTGACAAGACTATTTCACTGCTAGGAGCAACTCTAACCGACTCGTTTGCACGCCATCCTGATGACTCGTTCCCATGATGCATTATAGATCGGCCCATAGGCCATGCGCGTGATGACATCACAAAAGCTGCCGACGAAATTAGTGCTCTACCCAACCACTCGGGTGAGCCGGAATGCTAACCCCTCAAGGACCCTATCGGATTGATGCGATTGCCATCCGACCTTTTTCATAAACGTATGCCCCTTTTTGGCTTTAAATACATTGTACTAAGTAAGTTAATATATTTCCATCCTTCGCACCTTGTTGTTGAGTTCTCCCTTGGGGACCCGAACGAGGCGTAGTTGGACGGCGAACATCGTGGCTCGTGACAAGGTTATAACATTCCTTAGGACGGCTGAAAACCCGGGAAGATCGGATCTGAATGAGGAAATATTGCAGCCTAAAACTAGTGTAACGGGGCAGCGGAGTCGGTGGGGGGAGGGGGAGGGGAAGACGTCTACCTCCGAAGCCAGGATATGGTCTCTGCCATAACCTCACCATACGCACACACTTCTGTACAATTTGGGACAACCTAAGAATGAAGTCCATGAGTGCTT